TTCCAAGAGCCTGATAGCAGAAGCTATCTAAAAGCCCAGTCTCGGGATATGCATGATATCACTTCTGCTACAGTCTACTTGTCAAAGCCAGTCACAAGTCCAGGCCAGATTCAGAGGGTGAGGAAACAGAATCCACCTTTTAATGGAAGGAACTGCAAAGTATTATGGCTGTTTTTGCAATACGTCGCATGGTCCCTTACCTAGAACACTGTTTATTATGCTTCACCTTCAGATTGCAACTAAAAGAGCATCCTCAAGGATGCCTTCCCTAACCAGCCTCTCATCCCACACAGATCAGGGCCCCACTTATGCCCTTTCGTAGGGCAGACTAGGCGCTCAACACGCGTGGTAGGTGGAGGGAAGCAAAGAGGGAAGGCGGAAAGGCAAGAAGGGTGGTTGGTTTGGATGGATGCCTCCTTCGTGCTTAGCAGGTTGCCTGGCACAGAGTGAGCACTCAATAAATGTCTGTTGGATTTAATCCAGTGCTGCTTTCGTAAGCCAGGAGACAGACAAAATAGATGTATTGAATAGTTACTATATTCCAGGGTTGTGCTGTGTAGCTTATCCAGCTCATATAATTTATTCCGCACCATAAACCTGAGAGTAGTTCTATTATCCTCACTTCACACCAAAGGAAATAGAGGTGCAAAAGGTTAAGTGACATTCCTGAGGTCTCATCAACTCAGGTGTGTCTGATTCCAGAGCCCACAGATTTTCCTGTCCACTCCACTCTTACCCCAAGTACCAAACACTTTCTGTGCTCAGGAGGCACCCAATGCCTGGTGCATCAAGAGACCAACTCAAGGTTGGGTGGGAACAAGAGTGTAGATTCTCCACGTGGGAATCCATGATTCCTCTTTAAGAAGGCTTCTACCCACACTTGCACTGATATGGCAAGTGTTGAATGCCTCTGTGTTGGTTTTACTTTTGAACTTTTTGAGAAGACATCACCTAACCCAGCTGTTGGGACACCTACTTCATAATCAGTTTTCTTGGTTTGTCAGAAACGGGAACCCTCAAATGCATCCCTCACTCTGAGCAGACCTTAGACTAGTCCATTGTCCGGAAAGAGAGATGTGGGAATGAGTGATTCTGGATCATGACTGGGGGCATAATGAGCATGAGTGAGACTCTCAGTAAGGGACTACCGGAGGGAAAGGGAGAAAGGAGCTGCCACGCCCCTACTGCCCTGATATTCTCTATGCTTTCACGGTATTTTGTTCATTCATTCATTCACTGAATATTTATTGACTACCTGATATCTATTGAGTACCTAATATCAGGAACTAGACTGGACATTGCTTATGCAATGATAGGCAAAAATCAGTCCTCACTTTGCCCTCTTAGAACCCTAGTGGTAGAGACAGACAAGAATGAATGAACTGCATAAACAAGTGTAAAAATGCAGCTATGATCTGTGCCATGGAGAAGAGCCTATCATGGAGGGATCTGGCCTTGTCAGATGTCCTAGAAGGGACGGGTACCTGAGGAGGTGGAGGGCAGCTGGGGATAGCAGGAGTGGAGTGGGAGGTCACTTCCCTTTAGTTCTCCACAAAAAACTATGTGCTGGCTCCCTACTAGATGCCGGAACTGTACCTGTGGTTCTCAACTCTGGCTGTACATTAGAATCACCTGGGGTGAGGGCATGGGGATTTAAAAGAATCTATGTCTGGGCCAGACCCTCAGAGACTTTGATTAAATTGTTTGGGAGAGGGATCCAGGAATCTGAATGCTTTAAAATCTCCCCCAGATACTGCCAGGATGGAGAGCCTCTGAGCCACGCAGATGAAAAGATGAGATTTCTGCTCTCAAAGCACACATGGTCTAGCAGGAGGAAATAGAGGAGAAAATGGAAGATTACAAAACAGCATGGTCAGTGCAATGATAGAGAGAGCAGGGGTAGCTGAGGGAACCCGAGGGACTCAGGAGGCAACACCTTAGCTGAGTGTTGAAAGATGAATAGCAGACTCTGATGTGAGACACCTCAGCTCCAACATCTGGTTCTCAGACCAGCCCAGAGACCTCATTACAAATACTCATAAGACTGGATATCTCTTCACAGCACTTACCATATTTCTACTTTTATGTAACTTGTGGAATTATTTGGCCACTGTCTGTCCCTCCCTACTAGGATGCCCACTCCATTATGGCAGGAACCATGTCTGTTTCTGATTCTTTTTTATATTTCCAGTGTCTAGCACATGGCCCATCCTATTTGATGAATGACTAAATGACTGAACAAATTGCTGGAAGGGGTTTTGGCAGACAAGGGACATGGTCAGTTTTGCATTTTAGAAATATGCCTTTGCCTGCAGTGTGGACAATGGACTGGAGGAGGTGAAACTCGAGGCAGGGAGACCAGTTTGGTGGCTGAAGTGGGGCAATATTCAAAGTAGGGAGGAGGAATGGAGTAGGTTAGAGAAGCATTTGTTAGATACAGCTGGAAGGACCTCGTGGGTTAGCAGTTGTGCTGGAGGAGAAGAGGAAGATGAAGTCAACCACCGCTCCCATGTTTCTGGCTTGAGTGACTAGATCCTTGGTACTCCCATGCAAGAGAGAAGGAAGAGCATGAAGAAGAACAGATCTGAGCAAGGTTAATGGGTTCAGGCTTGGCCACATGAGTGAGAGATGCCAGTGAAGCTGTCCTGGAGGTAACTGGATAGATGAATTTTGAAGTCCAAGGGGGAATATCAGAGCATCCTGCTGTTGAAACATCATGGCATTGGAAACCTAGAACTTTCCTCTGGAAGGCAAGAAAGATGGGGTTCTAATATTGACTCAAATTTAACTCATGCCACCTTAAGCAATGAAGGGTATTTCAGGAATGTGTGCTCTTCACATCTTCAGTAGCCTATTCCAAGGTTTCTTTTGGCATTAACATTCTGTATCTTCAGACAGCTCTAGAATTTAAGGAAAGGGGACTTTCTCTTGAAACACTGCATCAGTCAGGGCTATTTACCTTAACAGGGACGGAAACATCTTACACTGTATTAAGCCTGGAAAGTTAACATGTGGCTTCCTGGGGTGTGGTGTTGCGAAGGAATCTTGCTGGGAAAGAGTGCTGTGATCAATGATTGGTGTCTGCTACAGACCCAGGGTGGACAAGTGGGGCATATGTTTGGCCACTTGGCCTTGAAACCAAAGCTTTCCCTCTACAGCCTCTCAAAAGCATCAAATACTGTCTACAGGACTCTGGTCCTACCCTGGCTCAGCCACTAGCTGCGGGTAACTTTAGTTAAATCATTTAGTGTGTCTGAGCTTGACAGTTTCCTAATCTGTCAAGCACGAGTTAAAATCCCCATCTTTCCTACCTCTCAGGGTTGTTGAGAGGATAAAACAAGAAAAGAAACATGAAACTGTGATGGTCTCCATGAATTTACATAAATTCACACATTTAACAGTATGGGGTGTTGGAAGTGTGCATGAAAGAGCAGTAAATATTTCCAGTCTCCTGACAGATGTAAGTTCAAAGGTTTATTGCTAAGAAATTAATTTAAAAAGTGTAGAGGATCTTATAATAAAGGAATTGTAAGATAAAATAAAAGAAGATCTCATAAAATTATCAAGCAAATAGGGGTAGGAAAAGGAAGGAAGGAAGGAAGGAAGGGAGGGAGGGATGAAGGAAGGAATGAAAAAAAGAAAGGAAAAAAGAAGAAAGAAAAAAATCAGTGCTGGAGAGAGTATGGTGAAATGGAGTGGAAATTGGTATTACTCTTTTTGTAGTGTAGTTGGCAATATGTATCAAGGGCCTTAATGATGTTTACACCCTTTGGCCAAATAATTCTACTTCAGGTAATTCATTTCAGGGCTGGATGGTAAATATTTCAGGCTTTGTGGGCCATGCAGTCTCTGTCACATGTACTCAAATCTACCATTGCAGAGCAAAAGCAGCCTCAGACAATAGGTAAATGAATGGATGTGACTGTGTTCCAATAAAACTTTACAAAAACAGGCAGGGGCCAGATTTGGTCCATGGGCTATAGTTTGCCATCCTCTGATGTAGACTAAGAAAATATTTTTAGAATTATTCTAAATTAAAAATTCTAAATACAAAGGGAGCTTTAGTCTAGAAGATTCTCATCTCAGCTTTATTTATATTAGCAAAATATTGGCACAACTTGAATGTCCATCAATAGGAGGACTGATTAATTTTAATAGTTCCACTCAAAGAAACATTATGAAGGCATTAAAATGCTGTTTATTAATAATTTATAGCAACATGGAGAAATGCTTTATAGAATGTTACATAAGAAACTAAAGTTATTTATAATGATAATTAGGATAATGATGATGGCTAATATCTAAGCCCTTGACACCATCGTATCGTTTAACCCTCCAAACAACCCTATGAAATGTATTTTTTATTGTAACTACTTTCCTTTCGGCAGAAGCTGATGGTAATAAAAGTTAAGAAGTTACTTAACTTTTATTAAGTAGCCAAAATTACACCATGAGTAGGTGGCAGATTTGGAATTTCAACACAGATCTGCTTAACTGCAAAAACAAACATACTAATAAAAGTCCAAAATGAAACTCTGTTTATTGAGAGGATCAGAAAAAAATATACCCAAGTGTTGATATCAGCTGTCTTGAGTGGTAGGTGATAGATACGAATATTTCTCAACGTATTCAATATTTTCTCTAACAAGAATGCATCATTTTAATAACGAAGAAACAACACTTGCATTTTATAAGAAAACCAAGGATGGCAGAGTACTAGTGTCGCTGTGGGGGAGAAGTGTTTATTTCAGGGAATCTAGAGATTCCATTGGGGATGCCCTGCCTCTCTCTGTCCTGCTCTTGTTTGTGAAAAGGGCATGACCCTGTCCTTCCTTCTGTCTGTTCCAGGTGGAGTTTCTAGTGTGTGTCTCGTTTGGACTGTTGACCCACGTTGATGCTGTTCTTGGGTTGACTTGCCAATCCCTAACTGTCTTTCTCTCCTCTCTCTCCCTCTCTCTGCTCCCTCCTCCCCTGCTCCGTCCACCTGTCCCACTGTACAGCCGACAAGGTCAATGACGACTTCTACTCCAAGCGACGGCATCTGGCAGAGCTGGCCTCCAAGGGGAACCTACCTCTGCACCCTGTAAGGGTGGAGGACGAGCCACGGGCCTTCAGTCCTGAGCACGGCCCTGCCAAGCAGAACGGACAGAAGTCCCGCACCAACAAGATGCCCCCACATCCCCTGGCCTACAACTCCACCACCAACTTCAAGGGTTGGGACCCCAACGAGCAGTCCCTCCGGCGGCAGGCTTACGGCAACAAGGGCAAGCTTGGCACGGCTGAGTCGGGCTCCAGTGACCCCTTGGGAACTCGCACCCAGCACTACCCGCCCCCACAGCCATACTTCATCACCAACAGCAAAACAGAAGTGACTGTCTGAGCTTTCACTGCAGGGAGCATCCTGGAGACCACACGCGACTGAGAGAGGCAAAAAATATCCCGGCCCACACCCTCCCTGTCCTCCCCCACACGCCCACCCACACACTCACTCTCCACACCAACCTACCAGTGGCACGGAATCACGCTTGTCCTGGGTCATGCCTAACACGTGTCGGCAGGCAGCTGAGCAAGACCGAAGCATGGACGTTCAGCAATACAGCAAAGGGGAGACTGAGGCACACTCTTTCGACTTCAGGCCCAAGGTGGCAGAGTCACATGCCCAAACCAGGGGGCTAATTTTCCTTTCCTCCTACCTTGAAACTGAAATCCATGATGAAAAACAAAAAAGTAGCACAATTTAGAGAAATTGCCCATTTGAGCACATATACCATTGGCCACGGGCTGTCTGTGTCGGGGTGACAGAGCCGGGGCGGGAAGTGGGGGTAGAGAATGAGGGTGGACACAGGAGAAAAGTGTCCTTGAGAAGAGGAGTCATTTGGGGAGAAATCTGTGCACATTATAAGCATTTTCTAATCCCAAGAAGTGGTGAAGGTGACATGGACACAAATTTTGATGAGCATGAGCAGTAACTGGACCCAACCATTCTATTTATAGAACTTTTTCATATCATCAATGTTGGAAGCAAAAAACAACACACACTCAAACTCACACACAAAAAATAGACCCTGAACCCACGGACACTGATGGGAAAGAAAGAACATTTTCGAGAACTCCCATAAAGACCATGATCATGGAAATGGGAGGGACGGGCTTTTATGGTGGGGAGAGGGTCCAGAGAGTCTTAAATAACTTTTTTTAAAAAAGAAAAATAAAATGTAAGCCCGCTAAAAAACAGACAAGAACGGCAAATTAATTTTTGTCCAAAATCTTCAAGACTTAGGAAATCAACAGTGACATCAAGAACAATAAAAAGAAAAATCACAGTTGAAAAGTTGACAAGAGGTGAGAGGGGGACCCAGAGCTTCTGATTTCTGGTGTTTTCCCCTTGCCTCCAAGATAAGACAGAAACACAGAAACTAGTCCTCTATTAACTGTCTATTCCCGACTCCCCCTTCAGCCCGCTGCCGCTGCCGCCAAATTTCAACTGCTTTGGACTGAAAATGTCATAAGCGTGGGTGGTGCCTTCAATGTGTTACTGTTTAATGACAGTCTTGTTTCTTAAGTGCAACCTGTGTTCTTTTTGCCTTCCTCCCTCCTGTTTTTCTGCAGTAGTAGAAGATGTTTCCATCCTCCCTTCGTTGGTGAGCCCACCCTATCACACCCTCTGAGGGGGCTGCTGCAATGCCAGGGGTACCTAAAGATGAAGACCTCCCACACTGTCAAAAATCCATGAGTCCTACCATTTTCTAGCTCCCCAAACCTATCACGCATTTCTGGGTCCCGTATCCCACGATCCCTCCAAACCACTTCCCCAGATACTAAAATGCATTCATTGCCCATCCAGAATTTTCTGCTTGATTCTCATAGCCAATGGCCATTGGGTGTCCCAACAAAGACATCCCTACTAGTTCAGTTTGTTTAGTGGAAGCCCGAAGAGGGGAGCTGAGAGAGAAGAGATGTTCATTTAAGGTGAGAAGTTTGCAACCAGTCCCTAAAGGTCTTAGCTAATTAACAGGAAACTCCAAGAGACCCCTAGCTCTTCTGGTGTCAGAAGCTGCACATGATCTGGTCCAAGAACACTCAGAGCCTTTCCTGGAATGCTGAACTCCAACACTCTGCCTTACCTGGCGCTCCGCTTGTGGAATTGGGGAAACCAAGTGTTTATTCTTTTCATTCCTGGCTGATCTGGGGACATTGACAATGATATTTATCTCTCTGAGCCTTAGTCTCCCATCTGAAACATGAGGGATTGAGACTAGATCAAGCTTTTTAAGCTCTTTGCCCATTTAAAAAAATGAAATGATGCACAGAAACCCTATATAAGATCCACATAAATAGCAAGGCTCTGTGCTGGGCGAAGCAGGGTTGGGAGACTTTGTGCCCCCTTTGTCAGCCTCTGCTGAGATTCCAGCCCTCCCCAATGTGGAGTAAACACCACTGGGCTTGGTCAGTGTTTCCTTGACTGATGTTATTTGTTTGGGTACTTGCACTTTTGACATCTCTGTGTATCACCGTTATAATATTTGTATCTAAATTGATTCATTTTTAATACATTTAACTTTTTTTTTTTTTTTTGGCGAGGAAGGTCAGCCCTGAGCTAACATCTGTTGCCAATCTTCCTCTTTTTTTGCTTGAGGAAGATTCGCCCTGAGCTAACATCTGTTGCCAATCTTCCTATTTTTTTGCTTGAGGAAGATTCGCCCTGAGCTAACATCTGTGCCAGCTTCTTTTATTTTGTATGTGGGTTGCCACCTCAGCATGGCTGATGAGTGGTGTAGGTCCACGCCTAGGATCTGAACCCACGAACCCGGACCACCGAAGTGGAGCGTGCAAACTTAACTACTATGCCTGGGGGCCGGCCCCCACACTTAACTTTTAAAAGGAAAACTTCCCGCGGTCATCACAAATAGAAAACCAGTATCAACCATCATAAATAGAAAGTAAGTATAAAAGTAAATACAGAGGCAACAAAGCAATGGTTAAGTTCTAGCTAGATACTGTTGCCTGTGGAAGAGTCTGAACTGAGAGTCTGGCGAGCTCTCTCTCCTTTTTTATTAAAAAGAGATTATCAGATGTTAAAGACTTGTTAAAGATATGTGAGCACCCAATGGTGACTTTCTCCTTGAAGTAATCGATGGACTGACAAAAATGAAAAGGGAATCATTTCCTATGTCACGCCATGTTAATTAGTGCTATATCCATGTACAAATTAAAATCATTTTGCATACACTAGTGGTACACAGCCCATACGTCAGGAAATACGGGGTCGGCTTCTCTATGAAATTCCCTCCAGCTCAAAAGTTCTGTAGTTCTCGTCTCCCTTTTAGCTCATCTTTGCTCTTTGCCCTCAACTCACTTCGTCTCACCTCTATCCCAACTCTGATTAAGGACCTTTCTTGGTCTCTGAATCTACAGGATTTTATTTATCCTCCATGCTCCTTCTCTTCTGAGTAAACTGCATCCAGTGAATGTTGTTAGTTGGGATCTGTAGCTATAATTCTGGCAGCAGAGTTGCGGCATGGTCAGTAAGATGTAGCAATGTAGCAGTGATGACAGCCCGAGAAGAAGAGTACTTCTCAGGCTCATTACCTTCCAATTGGCTTTGGGAGCCGAACTGAGGGGGGATGTTTGGGCAGGGAAGTTATTCTTTGGCCTCTTCTAGGGAGGGTGGACAGACCTCATGATACTCAAAGAGCATCATGAAGGATGACCTGTTGAACTATGACTGTCACGTATCAACAAGGATCCTGTAGCTAGAGTGAGGAGACATGGAAGAAACCAGAAGAAAGTGGAAAGATCATCCCTTCCCCCTCAGTGAGCCTCTGCTTCTTGCTTTTAGCTGTCCCCTTACTTCCAACCCAATGGGACCAGAGTCTGACATCCCTTTGCCCTCCCAGAGCATCTCAGCCTCCATCCACCTTGGGCTCTGCCTGGCATCCCCATCTAAACCCCCGACCCAGTTTTTTGTGTAAATGGAGGATATTTTATGTGCAAATATTTTAGTAACCGTATGTTCTGCAAGTAAACCTGTGTTACTACTTGTCGACAACTGCAGAGTTTATGATACCAATAATAATTCCTACAATGAAGAAAAAAAAACATTTGTTTGTTTTCTAAGAATGTTTATTTGTAAACATATGTATTCACTATATTAATATGAATTTCTTACCTGGCAATAAAACTGACTATATGTGATGCTCTTGGGGTCGCCATGTATTTTTCCAGGGCCCTGCATCCTAATCTGAGTTTTCACTGAGCAATTCAAGTATTAGCATAGAGGGCTAAATCTATAATACTCAGAATGTGTGGGAAATTGTTGGAGGTAAAGGAAATTTCTAGTTAATAGCAACATATACAAAGACTTTTTGTTTGAAACCTTTTTGGTAAGAGTCTGTGTCACATCTCTTAGTTCACTTCCTGCCTTACAAAAATATACTGTTACTAGGTCTCCTATCCTAACAAATTTATCCTTAATGGTCAAGAATCTTGCTGATATGTGCACTTTTGTTTTTACCAGCGACCAGGGTTGTAGAAAACACAAATATTGAAAGGATAGGAGACTGGATTCTTCCTCTATTTGTTAAATTTTATTTCCTGCCTGGCTTCTGTTAGCATTAAGTTTGAAATTTTCAGGCAGAAACTTACCTTAATATGTTTCCCCCGAAAGGGTCTCTGAGACAAGGATTTGAGTGCAAGCAGTTTATTTGAGAACTGAAGGGAACACTGGTGGGGAGGTGAGATGGGGAAGGGAAAGAAGCCAATAAAGAACGCCTCATCATGCCAGCTACCACTGTGAGCACCTGGAGTTTAATGCTGCAGGGAAACTTCGGGAGAGGGTGTAGAACACACACTCAGAATTATCCCACCCAAGTGGAGATGGAGCTGGGCTCTTTACACGCCAACTCCCATCAGACATCATTTGAGCATTGCTTTCGGGGATCAATAATGTTCAGACACTCCCAAGCTGTTGTGTGCAAGGGCAGAGAGATTTCCATGGCGTAGGAGAAAGCCCCAGGCACAGAGATGCACCTACAGTAATTGGAAGTCAGCCATTGTGTACTAAGGACACAAGTCCTAATGACACAAGGGATGGGGCAGGAGTCACAGGGGCTGCTCAAAGCCAGAGGTCCGAGGTCTCCTGGGAATGAAGCTTCCACTCTCTGAATACTTAGAGAAGTTGTCAATGTCAAGTAAAGGGGATAGTGGACCACTATCTGCAGTCAGAGTAAGGGTCCCTTCTCTGGGATTTAGAGATCCTTCATTGGTGACAGGGTCACTTTGTATTTCCCAGAGGAGATCCCATGGGCTATCTCTTTCTCTCTGGGGCAGAGTTCTGGTTATCAGAGAATTCTGGACGGCAGAGGATGCTCCTGCAGTACTCAGGAATGGTTCTGGGTAGAGTCGCTAATCAGCACGCATCACAGCCCCATGGATGCAGTAGAAGGACAGGGAATCATGCTTTGGGGGTGGGGGGGTTTAAACACTAAAAAAAAAAAAAAAAAATCCACTAGTAAAGCCGCCACTTGGTTACAACTCATACACAACAACAATCATGTAAAGTATATTTGTAGAGCTTTCATTTTGTACCAAACACTGTTGAAGACTTTACATGCATTGCCACATTTGATCCTCACAACTGTATAAGGTAGGCACTATTAGCTTTGGAGATGAGAGATCTATCTAAAACTTGAATAATTTTGCCCCAACTGATTCAACTATTAAGCAGTAGCACTGGGATTTGAACTCCAGATCTCATACTTTAACTAATGTACCAGTAGTTCTTACTTGGATGAGTATGTAAATAGTGGGGAAACCAGATAAAAATGCTAATTCCAAAGCTCCTCCCACAGAGGTGAAGTAGGTCTGAATGGGGGCCCAGGACTTGGTGTTTGTAACAGATACCCCTTCGTCGCAATGCAGTGGCTCCCGGACCACACCCGGAGAAGCATTGCACGATGCTGCATTCCCTAATCATGCAGCATCTGTGGACTCAGCCTGTGGGCCCTGGATACAGAAGGAAATGGTATGGAGGTATGTGCATCCAGAGAGAGGAACTTGCACCTTTTGGCTTTATGTCCAGTTCTGGAAGGTCATGTCTTATCATGGACAGAGAACTGACTCCAGAAGAACTGGTTGCTGGTATTGATTCCAGCACTAATTTGCCATGTGTCTTGGGGTTTGAAACTAGCCTTGGGGATTCTGTTTCTTCATTCCAAGAAGGAGGAGGCTGGGCTAGATAATCTCAATCCTGCTCTCTCACTTGATTGCGTGTTCCCCCTCCTCATCACTGTGGCATTTGGTATAGTTAACAGGATTGAGTCCCTTATCACTTCCAAAAGTTTGCTCCTGGGTGAACAGGATTTTGCTGGGTGTAACAATAATCATTATTGTAATGGCTTCTGCACACTGCGCACTTGCTAAGTACCTGGCTTTTTGCTAAGGGCTTTCCATTGCTCTAATAGCTATGGACTAGTCTGGAGGTTCCTAACGTTTTTTGCGCCATGGACTTCTTTGGAGATCTGGTGAAGCCTATGGCTCCTTTCTCAGAATAATGATTTTAAATGCATAAAATAAAATACACAGAATTAAAAAGAAACCTATTATTTTGAAATACAGTGATGAAAATGTTTTAAAAACCCACAGTTGTGATACAGTAATATATGTGATTTTTAACTAATGCATTAAGTAACAAGATCTAATGACAGGTTTCAATGTAGTAAGGAGCACAGATAATTCTTTGAGTTATCTGCTACAAGTTTTGTCACAACTTGATGTGACAATATTCGTGATTCTGTTGGAGACATAGTCCCAGGTCAGTGCTAATATCATGATGGTTTGTTGCCTACA